TCCCCAAAGCATGAAACCTGAGGCATCTTAAACTAAGAGTGATTACAGAGCACATGACTCTTTGCTCATAAAACCTCTTGGAAGAAACTGGGGCTACACTTCTGGCTCTAAGTTGTAGATGAAGCAGGAAATGTCAAAATATTCTGGACGCTTTCACAAAGGCTCTCAGTCTAATACTGAATAAGAAACTCTTTTGGAAAAGATGGGGGATTAACAGGTGTGGGTTTTAAGTGTGTGCATTCTCCTTAACTGACTCTTGGAAGTGTCCCCATGGCCCTGTCTTTGAGCGACGGAAGGAGATGAAGCCTTAGGCAGGCTGATGCACAGATACAAAGATACTTATGTTGTCAGAAGCAAAAAGGAAACTGTGAGTCACATAGAAAAGAAGGAGTAAGTGTTTTAGCAAGTTTTTTGCTTTTCCTAGGGTTCTTACTAGGAAAAAAAGAGCAGCTTTGCCTTTCTTAATGCAACAAATATTATTTTTTCAGTTTGGAGATGAAGAACATGTTTATATATACAAAGCTAAGAGATTTTTTTTTCCAATTTATACTTCTGTCTCATTAAGGGCAAACAACATGCCTCCTGAGAGACAAATTGCTACATCTTCAGACTTAAAAAACCTAGAGTACTTAAGTTTACACAACTAAATCTTATAATATTTCTGTGCCTTTAGATGCAAGGGTATGCTTCTGTTAAACACTAGTTATAATGGTTCTATACTACTGAAAATATAGCAGTTTAAAAGAAAAAATTCTCACCTTGGTTTCCCTTAAATTTACCAAATTTACTGAATTTTATCCACTATCAGCAAATTATATGGAAGATGGTGAGAGAAAAGAAGCAAAAAAAAAAATCTCATAATAGGGGCGCCTGTGTGGCTCAGTCATTAAGTGTCTGCCTTCGGCTCAGGTCATGATCCCAGGGTCCTGGGATTGAGCCCTGCATCAGGCTCCCTGCTCAGCAGGAGGCCTGCTTCTCCCACTCTCCCTGCTTGTGTTCCCTCTCTTGCTGTGTCTCTCTCTGTCAAATAAATACATAAAATCTTTAAAAAAAAATCTCATAACAACTCTTATACATCTTCCAGCTTAAAGTACTTCACTTATTGTTTTTACTGGAAGATAGACAGTGGTGCTTAAACCAATGCTCATTAATGCATACCTCAAGGAACTTGTTTCTGTTACTTCACTGGATTTTCAAAACATAGATGATGAGATTGGTGGATATGATGTCAAGCCCACACAAAAGGAATTAAACTATTATATATGAAACCAAGGCTTTTGTTTAATCTTCAAGCTCATCTGCTAGTTTGCTAGAGAGTAAACCATGTATTCTGAAATCATTCAGTCCTGAGGTTTCCCCAACTTAGGGGTCTTCATAGTTTTAAGTTATCAGGAAAATGATGTCTCTCTGGTGGTGGCTAATGGTGGGAGTGGCCACCGCTTCTGTATTAACACATTGAGCATCTCTGTGACTTGTACATTTTGTCAGATTTGAAGGCTGGCCAACAGGAGATAAATTTACCCAAACAGAATAGTTATTAAAGAAGTGGAGCTGGAATCATGCTTTCCTGAAAATAAAGATGAAACTTCAAGTTTTGAAGGGAAACAGGGGGAAAGTTTAATTTGAAAGAGTGACTGAGTGGTTTCCACATTCCTCCCTCAATAATGATGAGGAATATATCATGTTATGTGAATTATATCAACTGTACTTGTTATTTTAATGACTGAAGCCCTTCCTCCATCCCCCATGGAACTGTAAGCTCTTTATGAGTAGAAAATGTCTTCTCATCTTTGTATTCCTGCTACCTACCATGGTGCCTATAGACTGGAGACCTTTGATACCTATAATTGGATATCACCACCATGAGAATAACTGGAATTAAGGGCAGAATGTAACAAAGGAGAGTTTGAGGATGAGCATTTGTCTACATTCCCAAGACTGTCCTGGGAAGAGGACACTCCTCAATGCAACCATTCTAGATCTCTGGAAAGAAACACTAAATACCTAATATCTTGTAGAAGTTAAAAAAGAAACAAAAGAGCTATCTAATAATTATAGACTACAAAATGTCATGAGCTTCCTTTTCAGAGTTGTTTAACAGAGGTGTCATAACCAATGAGAGATGATGTCATAAATGTAGTCAGTGAACATTGGGCTTTCAGTTTCCTTCCAAATCAAGAGTTAATTCTTGATCCCTAAAACAGAGCTGGCTTACTCATTTGGCCACAATAACTTTGGGAGTACATCCCATAATGATGGTCAGTATCCTTGCTCTGGCTCTATAGTCACAGTTGAGAATGCTTTTAGGTGGTTTTGTTTTCTAAGACAATTTTCCTTGTAGAAGGAAACAAATGTTACAAGACAACTTACCTTGACTGTAAGATCAGGCACATCTTTAATAAATTACAGATTGACTTGATGGCACGAATTAGTCTTTTGTAGATTTGGTTAACATTACATGAATTTTATGAGAATGTAATAATGCCCAGCAACCTGACTATCATTGTCAAGATGTACCAGTCAAAATGTTGGGAACTGGGTCTTCTTATTGGCCTCCCTGCCTCCATTCTTGCTCTGCCTCACTCATTTTCTTCTCTCGTGCAAAAATGACCATTCTCAAATATAAAACTAAACATAAAACCACACCCATCTCTGTAAGACCCTTTAATGGCATCCAGTTGCCTTCAAAAGGAAGTCTAAATGGCCCTGAATGATTTCCCTTTGACTACCTCTTGGCCTCAATCCCTCACACCCCCTCCTTTGCTCTATGTTCAGACAGTTTAACAATTTACAGTCTCCGATTGTGACCTGTCAGTCTCATCACTTCAGATCAGTGATTCTCCGCAGGGAGTAATTTTAACCTCAGGAGACATTTAACAATGTCTGGAGACATTTCTGATGATCACAACTCACGAGATGCTACTGGCATCAAGTGGGTAGAGGCCAGAGAGGCTGCTAAACATCCTACGATGCAAAGAACAATCCCTCATATCAAAGAATTAACCAGCCCAAAACGTCTATGGTACCCTTGTTGAGAAACTCTGCTTTAGATAAATGAATGATAGGAAACTATGTGTAACAAACCTTGAGAGAAGTCCCTTTAAAAGAGTGTCTCTAAAAAAAGTTGGCAAACTATGGCCCACGGTCCAAATCTGGCCCCCTGCCTGTTTTTGTAAGTAAAATTGTATTGGCACCCAGCCATGTGTATTCTTTACGCACTGCCATCTTGTCTCCAGTGCTTTTGCAGCAGAGATGAGTAGTTGTGGCAGAGACCATATGCCCCACAAACTAAAATATTTTCTATCTGGCTCTTTACAGAACAATTTGTCAACTCCTGCTCTAAAACACCTCTTTTGTTCCATTCCTAAGATTGCAGCAAATGTAGTATACAATTAAGACTGTAGGAAAGAATTTTTTTTTTCAAATGGCACACTATTTCTGCTTTAGAAGAGGAAATATAGGCATAAGTTAACAACTGGATTTCAAACTAGTCTTCTGAGAAAAGCATTTCCTGTGAACTAGTAATGAGCTTTTCCGGCAAGATATCATTAAAAAGAGAAGTTTAGGGCTAGCCAAGAAGTAGTTGGGGGTGGGAGAGGTGAAGTGGGGTGTGAAAAACTTAGTCACCAGATCTTACTATTTCCTCCTTAGAAATCTCTCAACCCAGTATAACCTGAACATAGCCTAACATGCTTTTTGAGGCAGACAGATCCTATCACTTCTCAGCTTCAGGCACTTGCTAAAATTTGCAAGGAAGAGATGGTTAGGGGCAGAGATGCATGTGGCTATTATGAGGAAAATAGCTAATCAAACAAGCCTTTGGCAACCTCACTCAACTCCTCAAAAGCGAGAACTTGTTTTGTTGAATCTTCCTTTAACTTCTGCAGATTGCAAATAAAATGAAAAGCGGGTTAAAGCCGTAAAAGATATGTGACACTTGAAATATTTGCTAGGGTTTCCCCACATGGTTATTGTTGGCACGTGTAACAGTTAAAAACACTGGTATGTTTCAGATGCATGAAATGTCAGTTTAATGCATAAGCTCTTTTTTAATAATAAACATCAATTTATTGTGTTTATAGTGAAGGAAACTGATTCCTTATAACTACTGTGTAACCACATGCACATATATGCCACTCACTGCTTCTTACTTCATGAGTTATTTATAGTTAGGGCAGCTTCCCAGGAGTTAGAGGAGAGGCAGATGAGTTTTCAGGGTTCCCCAAGTGAGGCATATTTTCCCTGGGGGTGGACTGGGGAGGGTGCTACTCCTGTCATGGGGACATACACAAATTAGGCAAACCAAAATCAGAATCTTCCCAGATATCTCTGAAAAAAAATAATGTGTGCAAGCATAGAGATTGCCCTAAGGCCAAATGCCTACATCAGCAATATGATATATATACAAGGACTATTTGGTTTTACATCATCATAAAACCAAATAGTGCTTTTGCGAAAATTATTTTAAAAAGTGCTTTCTATGAGGGATGTAGCTCTGAAAACATGATATGAAGAGTTACAAGACTGGGAAACTGAACCTGAGATTCCTATTAAGCCTGAGATCCTACAAGAAAGCTTTTCCTAGGGAAAAAAAAGAAAGAAAGAAAATTTAAAACTGCATCAAGTAATTATAAAAAAAAAAACCTAAATATACGATGACCGTGAAAGAAATTCAATTATTAGTTGAAAATCTTCACCAGTTAAAAAAAAAAAGACAAATAAGATTTTTTAAGGTGCATTCTATGAAACTTCCAAAGTACAAATCATCTCAAGCTCTTCTAGAGAAGAGAAAAAGAGGAATATTCCCCAATGCATTCGGAGGCAAACATATTTTTTTTTTTCAGGAGCATGTTTATTGTGTTTGAGATGATACATCAGGTGCCCTCTGAGCTACAAAGGGGTAAAAGGAAATCCTCTCATTACAAACTGACAAAGGTAAAAGGTAAAACATTTTTCACAACAGCATGAACCACATACTCAGAGATAGATCCGGGTTTAATACAAATGACATAATTCCTCGTCATCTACGGCTACTTTTATAACTTCATACAGATAATGAATTAGGCTAAAATGCACTATAATATTTGGTAGACTTCAGGACCAGTATCCTTAGTACATCACAAAATACATTTTGATATCCCAAAGAAGCAAGACTTGCAAGTAGGCGTTTTAAACGTAACTAATCTACAGCTACAAAGTTCTACTCTTGATAGCATTTACCTTTTTGGGGAGTCTCCCAGTCTCCAAAGGATAAAAGCAGAGAGTAGAATCAGTATAACATATACACAGAAGTCCGTATTGTAAAGGCTATAAAGATTTGCAGCACAGTGGGAAGGGGCCCTTCTGCTCCTTCACACCGCATACAAATTCTGTGAATTATGTGACGTATCTCTTGGTCCACTGTCTGGCTATCCTGTCATGTTCTGCTCTGTTGGTCAAATGCTGAGTGGCTATGCTTCCAACCAGAGGATCCGCAGGGTTGCAATCTGTCAAAAGAGAACAAATCGACAGCAAAACCTTTGAAATAGTCAAAGCAGGACTCCAGTTGTCTTTAAGGATGTCCAGACAGATGACTCCCTGACTGTTGATGTTGCAGTGATAGATTCTGGTGCGGAAAGTAACCTTTGGTGGCTTAAACGGATAATCAGATGAAAAAGTGATATCCAGAAAAAACACACCACCTTCATATACAGAACCTGGTGGACCAAGTATAGTCGATCTCCATTCATAAATGTTATCTCCTTTAGGCCCAGCACTGCAGTTAGGAGGAGGATCAAGAGTTATTTCAGCTAGCTCCTTCTGAATTCTTTTAGCACTAGTGGATAACTTAGCAGTGGTTTTGCTAGAGAGTTTGGTGTTTTTCTTCTGCTGGGTGGCAGAAGGTTTTCTTTTTTCCTGTTCTTCAGGCTCTGGAGCGGCTGGGTCTCGCTGGTCCGCATCTGAACTACCACTGCTGGTGCTGGGGCTCTCATCATCGGACCTTTGCCTATCACTGGACATCTTGCTGAAGTTATTTCTTGGAAAACTCGGCCGCCCGCCCGGCCCGCTCGCGCGCCGCTACGGTGTGGGGGAGGGAGAGAGAAAAAAACCCTTCCTTAAGGAAATGGAGGCAGCTGGGGGGGGGGAGGGGGGGGAGGGAAAAAAAGGAAGCCGAGGAGGCTCTGGCCGGGGAGTGTGGAACCCGGAGGCAAACATAATTTTAATGCCAAAACTAGTAAAGGATAGCTTATAAAGAGACTGTCACAGGCAAATTTCACTCAGAAACAAAGTTTCAAAAATTACAAACAAAATCTTAACAAACTAAACCCAGTTATATGTATTAAAAAAATACATATAACATCATGACTGAGTTGAGACTGTCATAGGAAATCAAGGGTGGTTTAATAGAGACTCTATAGATGTCCTTTACCACATTAACAGATTACTGGAGAAAAACAATGGGTTCTCAACTTCCAGGGTAAAAATACTTGATAAAATTAAATGCAAATTCATAACTAAAGATTTTGTGTGTTTGTTTTTAAACATTTTTTTTTTCCAAACGGAATGAAGAGTCCCAAAGTAGGTAGACACGAACATAGAAATCTGAAATACTTGTTACTTTGAAGATCACTGGGAAAGAAGGAAACTACTTAATAAATAGTGATGACTGATGTGATTCTCCCTCAGGAAAAGAAAATGAAACTAAACCTCTCACATCCTACCATACACAAAATCAAATCAATCCTAGATGGATTAAGGACATCAAATAGGTGGCAAAATTTTAAGATGTTTAATTTGGGAGAATATAGCCTCAGGGTAGGGGAGGTCATCTGAAGACATAGAAAGCACTAGCCATGAAAAAAAGTTATAACAAATTTATCCCTGTTAAAATTAAGAACTTCTATTCATCAAAAGATAGCAGAAGTAAAGTGAAAAGACAAGTCACATACCAGAAGGACTTTAACTGCAACACATACAACTGACAAAGGCCAAGTAACTATATAAAAACTCTTACATGTCAGGGAAAGACAAGCAACCCATTAGAAAAAGGGACATCACATCAACAGATGAATGAAAAAAGAAGATGTGGCATATATATACAATGGAATATTATGCAGCCATCAGAAAAACGAAATCTTGCCATTTGCAACAACGTGGATAGAACTGGAGGGTATTATGCTGAACAAAATAAGTCAATCAGAGAAAGACATGTATCATATGACCTCACTGATATGAGGAATTCTTAATCTTGGGAAACAAACTGAGGGTTGCTGGAGGGGGGGGGGGGTGGGGGGGTGGGGGTGGCTGGGTGATAGACATTGGGGAGGGTATGTGCTATGGTGAGCACTGTGAATTGTGTAAGACTGATGAATCACAGACCTGTACCCCTGAAACAAAAAAAAAATTATATGTTAAAAAAAAAAAAAAAGGGAGAAGAAAGTAGGAAGGGAAAAATGAAGGGGGGGGAAATCGGAGGGGGAGACAAACCATGACAGACTGTGGACTCTGAGAAAAAAACTGAGGGCTCTAGAGGGGAGGGGGTGGGGGGGCGGGTTAGTCTGGTGATGGGTATTAAAGAGGGCACGTTCTGCGTGGAGCACTGGGTGTTATATGCAAACAATGAATCATGGAACACTACATCAAAAACCAATGATGTAATGTATGGTGATTAACATAACATAATAAAATAAAATTAAAAAAAAAGAAAAAGGGACATCAGTCTTGAACAGTTATTTCACAAAGAGAAAGGAGAAATGGCCAATTTATACACCATAAATGCCTAACCTCTTTGGCATCTTAATTTGTATTGTCTTAGTTACTAATAAAATGCTGTTTTATGCCCATTAGATTAGCAAAAATTGCAAAGCCTGGAAATAAAAGTACTGGCAAGGACAGGGATCAAAAGGAATTTACATATGTGCTGAGATGTGGAAACTGAACAGTCACTTGGGAAAACAATTGGGCATTATTTTCTCATGTGGAATATTAGCAGACACTGTGACCTAGCAATTCTGCATGCATCCCCAGAGCCAAGTGTAAGAATGTACATGGTAGCAAAACCATAATTTAAAAAAAGAAACAGTCTAAAAATTCTTCAACACGAAATAGATACATTTTGTATAGCCTCACAAGGGTATATTATGCAACAGGGAATATGAGTGAATTATAATTATATGTAACAACACCGAGGAACTGTAAAGTTGAGCAACAAAAGCAAGTTGAAAAATATTGAAAATGGTAGCATTTGAATAAAGCTCAAGCAACAAAACTCAACAAAATATTCTTAAGGGTTACATACGTATAAAAATTGCCTCCAAAAAAGTAAGGATGAGATTGATAAACATAAACTTCGGGATAGTAGTTACCACATATTGGAGGCAAGAGAGAACAGTATGGTAATGTCCCAGTTCTCAATTTCACTGTAAATTCGCGAATGTTCATGATTTTTCTTCAGAACTTATGTATGTTACCTGTTGTTTTGTATGTATAAACATAATACAATTAATACTTCAATGCAAACACTATTGATATAGAGAAACTTCAGAAAGTGAAGTCTGGAAACAGGTCTAGCAGAAAACACATGTGTTAACTCAAGGTTAATCAATTAAAGATGAGATTGCTTCCACCAATAATAATAATAGCAAGCTGCCTTGCCTAACGTACTGATCAGGGAATACCTAGTCTGGAGAATATGGGTCAGTAAGATTAAGGTACTTCCTTAGATATTTACACAAATCACTAAGATAATGTGTCTGAAACAAGTTGAGATTGTGTTACAAATCTGTGTAGAAATGAAAAAAAAAAAGGAGGTCATGAAGAGCAAATATTTTTTAGTCTCATAGTCAAAATAGGAGTGAATGAGAACATGGACAACTACATTGGGCCCACCTGCCTATCCTCACAGGGAAATGAAGTGTCAATCCTTTGTAGGGAAGGGGTCTCCTGATCGGGGAAAGTGTGTCACCAAGTCACATCCACGCAAAGATGCCAAGCTTCTCCTTTACTCAGATCCCCTGTTCATCAAGAATCATTCTCATCAAAAACGAATGATGTAAGTATGGTGATTAACATAACATTAAAAAAAAAAAAAGAATCATTCTGACTGAAATTTCGTTTTCTTTTTCCAAGTAGTTTTTCCTCCCATGTTCCATCAAGTGAGGGATAGAATTATGAGGCTAGTTCAGTCTTTTTCATTATATATGTGTATCTGCATGTGTGTTTAAATCACACACACACACACACACACACACACACACACACACACAGACTTGCTGGTAGCAAAAGCCAGTCCTGTGTGGGTCTGGGCATCATGAGTCAGCTATTTCTGCATACCAACACCCCTTCCCCAAGCTGAGGAGACCATACAAAAAAGCCTTGCAACAACACCTTCTACAAAGCAACTAAACGACTGCAGACAATCCAAGACGATGCCTGTCTAAAGTTTCCCTGAAATGGAGTGCAAATCGGAAGTCAGTTTGGGCATCAAATGCCTATTTGACTAAGGGAAGAGGTTCTGAGCAACTGTCACCTACACAAGCACACTCTCTCTAGCTGATATGGAAGCTGCTTTCAAATGAATAATGGGACCAGGCAGCTTCTCCCCTTGCTTTCCCATGGAAACAGATTTGTGACGGTATAATCTGGAGGCAGGGGGTGGCTTCCGCTATAAGATCAGCCCTGATTTATATCAAGTTCTATATGCCGTCGCCATGTGGTTGGGGCCTTTCTTAGGACACTCACTCTGCTGGCACAGGATCAATCTCATTTACAGATCAAACCACCAAATCCGTGGATCTCAAAGAGGAGCTCCTGGTATGGCCTATCTTCTCATTTCAGAAAGTTAGTCAGTCATCAACAACAGACAACACTGCTGAAAAGAGCACTGAAAAAATACATGAAACAACAGTGCAATATAAAATACTGATATTTGCTTTTATTGATTGCTGGACATCATGGTTACCAACAGGTGATTTTAGAACACAGAGAGTTTTAAAAGTATACCGGAAGAAATTATTTTAGAATGGAGTAAGTAGGGCAGCTCACCCACTTGGATAATGGAAGGAATGACTTTTATACGGCCCTAAAAATTGATACCTGTATGTTTCATTCCTAGCAAAATGCATATAACTATTTATAAAGGGGGAGCGAATGGGAGAGAACGAGCAAGGCCAAATGAGCAAACAGAGACAAGTAAAAGCAATAAATTCTGCAGCTAGAATTTGGGATATCAGTTTTTAGGGCAGTATAAAAGCTTGTTGAGACTGAGAAAACATGGTAAAGCTTTCTTTACACTTCACTGAAGAAAACTAAAGGCCCAGAATAATGAACTGGAAGCCTGGCCTTAGCCAGAAGCACCCTGCAACACACTCAGAATTTTCTAGTTTTGCATTTTATCTTAAAAATCTAAATTTTTTTTTCCTATTTGGTCTGTAATATATCCAAAGGAAAGCAGAAAGGCAAGATTCATTGGTTTTTACCTCTACGTGTAGTTTATAAAACCTTTAGGAATGTAAAAATTCAACACCCCCCCACCTCCTCCATATCTTAGAATATAATTAGGAAAATGTGCCATGGTCATTGGGGGTTTTGTGTACTCCCAGGCAGAGAGTAGGAGCTTAATCAATTAGCACAATAGACAAATATGAAAAGAGAAAGAATAAAGTGTAACTAGATTTAACAGGGAAGAAAATCACTCTAACTTTAACTTGTAGATTGTTTTATGCAACTAATGGACGTCTTCCTACAGATGCTGCCAGACTGAGGAGGGAAGTACAGTGTCACATGACTTCATGGAAAAATAGCTCTCTGTCTTTAACTATCAGAGATCCAGCATTCAGCTTTCAAAGAAGAATATTCTTCCCGAACCCTTGGGGATCAATGTCTCAGAAACCAAAGACAGAAAACCACAGGGCAATGACGTAGGATGAAATAAAAGAAATATTCCATTTTAGAACACACCGAGTGAGAAATATACAGTTATGAAAAACTTTTTCCTTAAAAAAATGAGGAACAGCAGTGCCTGGGTAGCTCAGTCTGTTAAGCATCTGCCTTCAGCTCAGGTCATGATCCCAGGGTTCTGGGCTCGAGCCCCACAATCAGGATCCCTGCTCAGCGGGAAGCCTGCTTCTCCCTCTCCCTCTGCCCTGCTGCTCCCCCTGCTTGTGCTCGCTCG